ATGCTCTGAAACTCGGAATTTTTGATAGAAAACACATAATTTTTTTTCATCAAAAGTGTTTTCTAAAGCATACCGGCATTTTGAAGTAAAAAAAAATCGAAAAAAAAAACCTTTCCAAAAAGTGGCTGGATCTCCATGGATTCACCCATTTATTAATAAAATACAAATAAGAACTTTATATTTGTAATTTAAAGTATTGAATATTTTTATACTCCTGCTTTTCGTAATCGTGTTGATTCATCAATTTGATTGATATAAATCTAAAAAACACATCATTTATTTCAAATGAAACTTATTCAGAAATACAAAACGCACCTTATCAATTGCGATTAATAATTGATCAATTTTATCTGGAAAATTTTCAATTAGATCATAATATTGCGTACGCATTTGTGCATCGATTTCTTCTTGAAGTTCTGATCGAGTTAATTTTTTTAACCCTGTCCAAAGTAAAAATCTTTTCATCATAAATGACCATATTACATGATTGTCAGCATTTTTGTCTTTGGCATGATGAAAGCTATCATTTATAATTGAAATAAACATACTTAAACAAACAAAAACAATTAAAAGAATAAATATAGCAAAACAAATTGGTCCAAGCATAGGATCAGCTTCAATTAATTCATGTGCATCGAATTTCATTAATGTCATTTCGAATAACATTTGTGCACTTGCCATTAGATTTGAACATGATGATATTTTTGATACGAATAAGAAATAAAATAAGAAAATAAATGATAAAAATAGAATTGAAAACATAAATCCAAATGAAAGAAGTTCTTTTCGACAATAATGAAGTGTTTGAGTAAATAATGAAACACGTTGATCATATCGAAAAAAATTAACAAACTTAATTAAACCAAAAAAACAACAATAACCAAGAAGATATGTTAAAATATTATTTATATAAATTATATGTTGTAAATTTATATAAACATATCCATTTGTTTCGGAAAATAATTGACTTATACGATTTGTTTCATGATAACGCCATATATAAATACCAACACTTGTATATGAACAAATTATGATTCCTAAGAGAATCATTGACCAAAATCGATGAAAATATTTTAATCGTAATTCTAAAAATAATCGAATTTCAATGATTGTAAAATAAATGATGAATAACATATAAAATATTGTACAAATTAACTGCGTGATGGATGTAAATGCTAAAATTAGAAGGAGAGAGTGTGTGTACATATCTATGAATATATGAAATGATTTACTATAGAAATTAATTGGTTCAAAACGAGACGATGGAAAAACTCCACCTGTTGATAAAAATTCTGTAAGTAAAGTAACTGATGTTAATAATTGTACATTTGAATTATATAATGTTAATTCGATAAGAATAGCTCTCGTATGTTGATCAATCCATTCCAACTGATGAAGTAATGATATATTTGTTTTTAAATTTATTAAACTACCACGAAATTCATAAACATACCCACCACCACTATAAGTTGCATATTCACCTATATATTTTGATGTATCTAATGTATCACTTGTTTCATATTGAAATGCTTTAATGATTGATGAACCATAAACTCCTGTTCTATTTATTATCCATCCTGGTTGAAATGAATGTTTATCTTCATTAAATAAATTATAATTCTCTTCACATAATGAAATAATTCGTTGATTATCACATAATTCTGATTTCACACGTAATTGTCTCATTGTTGCCCAACCAATCAACCGGTTTGATTTATCATTGAGAAATCCATTTAAATATTGTGGAATATTTCCATTATACCATTGTTGTGTACGAAGATTTTCAATAAAACTATTTTCTAACCAATACCAATATTGATCAACTGTTCGAATTTGTGAATAATCAGCATTTGATTGTCTTCGATTTAACAAATATGTCTGTAAATGTTTAACTTGAAAATAACTATTTTCTTCACGATTATAATATGTTACAATGAAAACAAGTAATGCAAATAGAAAATAAATCATAAATTCATGAATTATTGACCACATTTGAATTTCTTTTAGACGCTGTTCACGTGCATAAGCAACTTCATTTTCATTCAGACGATTTATATGTTTTGATGTTGGAGAATTGAATAGAGAAATGTCCGAAGAATGAAGATCATCTTGAAGATCAATTCGATCATCATCATTGATATATTCACTTGCTTCTTTATCATTGGTAGAATTTCGACAAAAAAGTGCAAGAAATATTGCCATACATATAATCTAAAAGAAAAACTTTAGTTTTCAAAAGTGAAAATTTCAATAATCTTTTACTTTAATTGGTTGTGTAAGAAGAATTGATGAAAAAAATCCAGTAAGAACAGAAGTTAACCATTGTTGAGTTTTAATATCACCAAATTCAATTCCTCGCACAATGATAAAAAGAATTGAGACAAGAATAATAATTATTGAAAGACCATACGCAATGAATAAACACCACCATGGAAATGTTAGTTGGGATCGTTTTTTCTTTTCTGTAGAAACCATATTACTCGGTAAAGATCGTTTAATTTTCATTAAAGTTTGTTGTAATGGAGAAATTTGTTGACGAGGACGAATTCGTCGAAAAAATTGAACAATTAAAATACTTGGAATAAATGTAAAAAATTCCATCATGATTCCAATTCCGATCTGAAAATAAATAAATAAATATTTCTTTACATAGATAGTTATGATATTTACTTGTTGTGGTGTTATATATAAAGGACCCATTGTTAGAAGAAAACTTTGATTTGTGTTTTGAGCTTGTTTTGATAAATCATAATACATGATATTCATTAACATTGCAGTAAAAAATAAAACAAAACAAGATGTGCATCGTTGTACACGTGTAAATTTATTTGATGGTGGACGAGAAAAGATTGAAAACCATAAATGATCACTGGATAAATTATGATAAGCTTTTTTGGATAAAACATATGAAAATTGTTCTTTTTCAATTTCACCAGCTACGGGTAAAATTCGTTCAATTTTTCCATCTTCTTTTTCAACTGCAAACCATTGTTGAGAAATAAAATAAAATTTCTCTAATGTTTG